ATATATCTTATAATTATTTACAAAGCCATAGTAAACGGATGTCCTTTTTGCATTCTACTAATAGTTTAACGCTAGGTAAGTTATATTTGGGATTAAAGCTTATCCAGATTACCTTCTGGCTTGCCATTGAGTTAAGCACTTGCCGGTATTAGCCCGCCGAATTTCAAAGCAGACGACTTTCAATCGCGTTGTTATTTTCACAGATTCGCACTTCGGTTCGTGAGAAAACTTCTCTATTTCAAGCAAAGACACACCGGTTTTTTGTGAGTTGCCAGTGGTGCGCGACAACAATGATTTCTAGAATGCTCTCCCGGTCACTGGGCTCCCTGCGGAGTCTCAATGCTGTTCAGACTGCTCAATATCATGAGAAGGTACGTCTACGCGCTTTGCATATCTTAACCGACCACTGCGATGGCTCTAAATATTACGAAATTTTTGTACTACGTTTCATAACACTGAGGTAGCGCAGAGAGTGACAGTACATACAGTTACGCTAATTCTCTAAAACTCCGAACTCAGACTTTAAAGCTAAAAGCAATACTGTGAAATTTTTTGATAGTATTCTGAACCGTTTTTATATTTGCTCACATATGTTTGTCTTAAAAACTATGTGAACTGCGTGGGTTCATTGTAGAGGTATATGGCCAAAAAGATGTTCTGTGAATGGCTCGAGCCAATGCATAGTATAACGGTTAAGCCACCTATTGAATCATTAGACACCGTACAAATAGCTTGACAGGCCCTACAGGTAAGGTATGATACTCTAAAAAAGGTAACGAAAGAATCGCAGAGATACGTAGTACTATTCAATAGGGCAAATTACAATAAAAAAAACCTATACGTTTTTTTGTTTAGAAGATACTGACGCAAAGATGTATTCATTTTTCCAAGGTCTTTAGCACTAATAGAACTTAAGCTGAAACTGAAAATCGACGAAGCTAAAAAAAAAAAACGAAAGAATTTTGATTCGTGATAACCACTGAGTTCATGTAAGTTATTTGTCAAGCGATTACAAAGTACTAATTTATTTTCTAGTTCACGTTAGCCCCAATTTGGTCTCCTAATCACTAAATCACTAAAAAAAAAAAATAAGCAAGCGGGCAGGCAAGCAGGTAACGGTATCCTTATAAGAAAATATCGTTGTTTTACGCTCACAGAGGAAGTTAAAATGTATAAAATCCCAGTGTTTTTCTGAGATCATTACACAGGGACCTGATCTGTTGTTAGAGCTGTTCCACTACGATCATGGGACGTACTCAGCTGTTTGTGTCCAATGGTATCTAAGCATGTGTATCACTTTCTGGATTGTAGTAGGAATGCCGCTTTCAATCCTTGTGTAAATAAAACATTATGGTAGGTTACTAACATTACGACCAGCCGAAAGGTAATAACTCGGTGCTTGTATAATGAGGGTTATCACAGTCTAGTCCAACATAAAAATCCATAGTCGAGAAGGATTTGTGAAATGCTCAGTCGCAGGCGGGTACTCGAGCTCGCATAAATATTATAAAACGTAGCCCCAAATAGGCCAACTCCGGATTCGGTAAGGTAAGAGGACTGGCAAAAAGCGCATGTGCACTAATCTTTGGTTGAAAGCTCTTTCCAACTATTGGTTTGAATTGTACTGTTTGATATACCATATTTAATTAAGAAAACTATTATTTATTTTTTGTAGGTGATTGACCACTACGAAAACCCACGCAATGTAGGGACGCTAGATAAGAAATCGATGCGCGTTGGTACCGGTCTGGTTGGAGCTCCTGAGTGTGGAGATGTTATGAGACTGCAGATTGAAGTTGACGACAATGGGAAAATTATCAATGCCAAGTTTAAGACTTTCGGATGTGGTCAGTAGGATTATATATCTAATGGAAATTATTTGAATTTGAGTCAAGCTGCCATTATCGTGTTCAGAGAGACTTGTGATCTTAATCCTAACAATAATAAGTTTTTCCTGAAATTTGTTTCGGCGTTCTGGCGGAAGACATGCGGGTTTAAGGTTTAACAGGAAAAAGCTTACATCCATGTGCACAAGTATCTTTACCTAACCGACATTGATATTCAATAACAGGTTCGGCGATCGCATCATCCTCCCTAGCAACCGAGTGGGTTAAAGGCAAAACGCTTGATCAGGCACTCGGCATCAAAAATACTGATATTGCAAAGGAGCTATGCTTGCCGCCTATCAAACTGCATTGTTCGATGCTTGCTGAGGACGCCCTTAAGGCAGCGCTTTCGGACTATCGTCTCAAACAGCAAAAAGCGAACGCCGAACAGGAAACAAAGGAAGCAGCCAAATGAATCGCGGATACATTCAATAAAGTAGTGGGCAACAATATCGACAAAATTTACAAAGAAAGCTATATATATAACAATCACAGACAACGAAAATGTCAACTTTAAGTGAGCCTTTTGAAACTGATAAGAAACAAGGGAAGAGAGCAGATTGCAAAAAAATTGTGCTGCGAGATATTCTGTCACCAAGGAATGTTCTGTCCAAGAAAAACCTATAGTTTTCCGTCAGTAAAAATGTGAAGTTGCACAACATCGTGGTTAAAGCTAGCCTTTGATTTTTTTTCTAAATGTAAGAGCGTAGATATTAACAGCGATTACTGTCCCAATTACTTCGGCCTGTTAATGTAGACTAGCGGGAACAGTTGTTTTGCCGTAATATAATCATATCGGTTGTTATGCTAACGTAACAAAAAATGTTCTTTGAATACTATAGAATACTAAATACCATTTTGAAAGGCGATGATTTTGTTGGTAAAGATGCGATGTGGTGTCTAGTGACGTTCACTTAGGCAGTGTAGTGTTACTAAATATATTTAAGGGTCCTAAGATATGAAGTTTTTTTCTGGTTCGGCAATTAGTGATCTAGATTGGAGTTCATCTACTCTACATAAGTTTACAATACCCGGACGTACTAAGCGATTTGAATTTGATGTCTAGTATTTTACGAGTATTATAGCATTGGACACAAGGTCACGTAGAGTAGTATTTTACGAGTATTATAGCATTGGACACAAGGTCACGTAGAGATTTTACCTTTAATGTAAGGTAAAATCTCTACATTACAATACAAAAAAGTTCTGTCAGATCTATAGTATATTAACGTCTTGTTTAACAACCGAAGCTGCAGAATAAACGAAAAGCTTCTTAGATATACATCTATTGTTATGTATATAAATCATGTAATGATATAAAAACAGTAAAATCGTTTCAGATAAATACAATGCGATGTGCTTGACTTCGATAGTTTGACACTTTTTCAATGCATTGTAGAACATTATATAATAATGTTCTATATAATAGCATACTAGTTTCAGATAAGCTAATATCATGTGTAAAACGGCACCTTCTTAAAGTATAGGAAATTATATTTCCGTTAATTGTATTTTTAAGAGAATGATAGCGTCTCTCCCTCTTTGGCTACAACTAATTATTGCAGCTATAAACAACATTGAAGGCAGAAGGTAAAAGGCAGAAGACCAACAATTTTATGTAACCTAAATGTATTTGTTGTAATTTCTAGAGTATCTATTGCATCTGGTGCTGCTCGTATTTGGGTCTAAATAAGAGATTGCAGTCTTTTACGTGGTACAGGGAAGTTAGCGTAGATTTATTGGCAGTTGAGTACTGAGTAATTTCAGGACTTTGAATGTCTAGAGAAATATGCGTGTTTTAAGGTATTTGGGTCCAAAAACATTGCGTTCCGCCTTAGCTGCGTTCGTTGTTGTCTGATTCTTTTTGGTGCTCATAGTATGTGCTGATGCCCTACAGCTCTGTAGGTGTTAGGGAATTAAAAATGTATTTTATTAGAAAAATATCAGTGACACGGCTCGCCTTGTTGCTTCGCAATACAAGCTTCGTGCTTATAACACTTACGGTCAATTGTATCCCCTTGAGAATACTAGCGGTAAGGTCTCTGAACATTGTCAAATTACATATTTGTATCTTTGATCTGTTACTCTTCTGACTGTTCGTTGGGTTTAATTGATGTAGCCCATAACTAGTTTTAGTCTAGCCTAATAAAGCAAAGAAGAAAGCAAAAAAGACTTGTCCTATTGGCTTTTAAGTCGGGCCTAGTAAGTCGACATGTAGGTTTGAGAGAATGTTGTGCGCGCTATCAAATGCGTTCATTCGACAACGAAGCCGCTATTTTGAACAAGAGTGCGTTGCAAAACAATTAAACACAGCCCGGCCGGTGTCTTTAGGAACGACGTTTCGCGAAGCAGTGAACTGTTACCGTACGTTTGACTTTTGAGCTTATTTTTCAAACAAACTTCGGGCAGAAGATTTGGAATAGTCAACTTCCACCATGTCGATGTTAGATAACTTACGGAGATCAGAAAGTTTTATTTAAGACTCGTTGGATTTTTCTTTAATATGCCAACGCTTTAACGCGCTACCTAGTACGACTGTCCAGTAATTCGAGTCGTGTTTTCTATTTTTAAGCTAAAATTAATCTTCACTTACAAGTATTTTCTACCAGTATAACTTGTGCCGTCCTTATCGTGACTCTTTAACCTGAATTACGTAGTTATGTTTGTCAGTTCTGATATCCAGTGCTTCCGTGAATAGCAACTGTGCAAGGAAAGAATGGGAAAAAGGTTTAATTTTTCGACTACGACAGTTCAGAAAAGTTACGTAGACAGCATAAGTGTTACTAGTGTTTAAGAAGCGGTGGCCCGTCCTTGTTCCGTGCACAAGAGTGTGAACTTTCACTTCATTTCGAGAACAGCCGTATCGCCATAATCAGTGTTGTTTTGGCGTTGAACACCATCTTGCTCAAAAAAGGCGCCAGCTGCGAGAGTTATATTTTTATTTATGTTTATAACTTTTTGTATTATTAGGCGGACATACGAAAGTAGTTTGTGACTGTTAGGGTATTTACTAAAAATATTCTTATCATATTTAGATAGTAGCTAAATCCTCGGCAGTTGTGGCTTATCTCAGACATTGGTCTTTATAGGTTAATGATTCAAATGCCCTAAGGTTTTAACTTTGATGAATCAATATTATGTATAAGAGCAAACATTTATAACAGTTAAAAAATAGTATTTCGTTTATTTATCCCAGCTCCGCCAAGAATCCCAGATCTTAAAAAAATTACATACTATGTACGATTTATTTTTTTGAAAGCAGGTTTAATTTTAGTCTTCAACGCAACTCTGAACCAAATCTACGGGTACAACGAGAGAAGAAATAACACTTCTAACATACTGTTTTTGTTTAGTGTGTTTAGCTGCTTGGATGTCTCCGCGTGAGTGGCAGTTTGTCGAAATCCTGGGTTTTATGACGTACATAAAGTTCTCGCGCATACAACATTAGACTACAAAAAAATTCACAGGTGTTTTTTATTATTTGTGCGTAACAACAGACGAAAGACAATGACGTATTCGAGTGGAGATGGGGGAACGGCAGGATCCTCTAACGAAGTGATCCTGAGGGATCCACCAACAGATGGAATTTCCGCAGTAAAATTTGGCCAAACCTCCAACCAGTTTTTGGTTGCTTCCTCATGGGATGGTTTTATTCGCTTGTATGATATACAAGGCGAGACTCGTTGTAGAGCGAAGTTTGATCTCGGCGGACCGGTTCTCGATACCTGTTTTCAGGTCAGTTAGCCTTCTTAATTATTTTGAGCTAAATATTATTCCTCTAAGTCCGTGAAATGTGACCCGTCTTGAACACACATAGTTTCAGATAAGGACGTTATATGACATGGATCAATCTTTTCTTAATTTGGCCGTTGCGCTTGCAGGGAAGCAGCCATGTATGGAGCGCTGGAGTACATCGCAGTGTTCGCTTGTTTGACATTAACCAAGGTACAGAGCTTAAGGCAGGGTCTCACGAGGACACCGTAAGGTAAGTGGGAACTTAAATCTTATTACTACTGGCAGCTAGCAGAGATAGCAACGTATCGTTAAAGCATTTGCCGCACTGATTGTCTTGTTTGCACTGATCAATTATAGTCATGGACAGAATAAATTATGTAGTCTAGTAGACTATACGTTAGTGCACACATATAAACTATTATCTTGTACGATATCCGTCTTGTGGTAATGTTTCTTCTTAAACAGATGCATCGAATACGCGTCAGATGTGTCGCAGATTGTCAGTGGCGGGTGGGACGGAGCCGTGAAGCTCTGGGATCCGCGAAAACCTATCGGCCCAATTAGCTCGCATTCACAGGACAATAAAGTCTATGCGATAGCCATTGCTGGTGAGCGAATCATCGTGGGAACTGCCAATAGAAAAGTACGTGAGATCATTGTATCGTGTTTGCATGGACATATAGATGAGACCGTTGTAATCTATTGTCTCGTCCATAAGTTGAGTTGCAGAGTTGTTTATACACGAACATAAAAAATTTGTTATGGAAACGAGGATACTTTATATGGGCCGTCACTAAGCTCATCTGAATTGATGTGATGCACTGTGACTTTTTCAGTCAGCTTTTTCCAGAATAATGTTTGTAGTTCTAGTGTGTGAAGTTATCTGCGTAAACTGATAAGCAAGATTTTATAATCGTGCCGTTTTACACCATAGTTATTACCGCTGTTTGTGTTCGCTATTGCCCGATTTACAGAAGAGGGCACTGGTCATTGTTAAGTCTTTATTATGACATAATCTTCTGAGGGTAAGCTTTGTGATTTTTGAGGTAATCATCCCGTCAAATCGGGTTAAGCCAGACAAAAATGTGGTATAAGGTTATTGATGTCTCAAAACATCTAATACCGTACTGGTCTAACCAAGAGAGTTTTAGTCATAGGTGGAGTCCATAGACCAAACAGTGTATTCTTGACGTTATCCGAATATCATTTTGTACGTTTGTGATCCTAAACAGGTATTAATCTGGGACTTAAGAAACATGGCGTTTGTACTACAGAAACGAGACTCGTCGCTTAAATTCCAAACAAGAGCAATAAAGGCTTTTCCGGATAAAACAGGATATGTGTTATCATCGATTGAGGGTCGAGTTGCTGTCGAGTATCTTGATCCGTCGCCTGAAGCTCAGAAAAAGAAATACGCATTTAAATGCCACAGGTGTTTATGATTTAACAATATATTGGTGATAATATAAAAAAAAATTCTCTAACAAAAGCATTCGTCTGAGAAGAATCATCCGCAGTCTACTTTATACTCGCTCATACTTGATGAGCTTTTTCTTTAAATTATTCCTATAAATAGTTTTGTATATTGCTCACTTCTAACTCATTTTGTAGGTAAAGTCTTATATATAAACGATGACTTGACGTTACTAGCGTTATAACTACTTATGATCTGAGGTATTCAAATGTCGGTTGAGACTCATTTGTTTCCCGTGATCGTATAATCGGGCATTTTATATAATAATTTCCTTTTGTGCAGAATGAAGGACCCATCGACCAAAATCGAGCATATCTACCCGGTAAATGCTATTGCTTTTCACACGGTGCACGGGACGTTTGCTACTGGTGGCAGTGATGGTTTCGTCAACGTTTGGGACGGGCGTAACAAAAAACGACTTTGTCAATTTCATAAATTTCCTACGTCAATTTCGTCGCTTGCATTTTCACCCGATGGAAGCGCACTTGCTATCGCGGCAAGCTTCCAGCATGAGTACCGTCTGGAACAGAATCAACAGCCACCTGCTGACCAGATTTACATTCGACACGTGACGGATCAAGAGACAAAGCCCAAATAAGAACAATTCAAGTTTCCAAAGCGATACACCGGAACTTGGCTATGATGATGATGATTATTATACGACTAGATGAGCGACGTTAAACAAGATAATGTTGACGTGAAGGGAGAACAGACGAGGCCAAAAACATGAGGTGGCGATGCGAGCGGGGTTCCTTTAAAATTTTAGAAGCAGAGCCAATTATAAATTCGTTTGTAATGTATGGAGAGGTGTGATTTCGGGGTGAGATTTGTATAGTCTAAAATTCTTTGAAGTTAAGGAGGAAAAGAGGATAGTTCGTAGGGAATCATTGAATAGCCCTTGCTGGAAACACTCTTAATGCATGAGACTCTGTATATTTAAAATGTGTCGTCGAAGAAGGTATTCATGAGGTGAGATTCCCATGAATTATATGAATGAGTTTTGTCGACTACTGGTGTAGAAATGGGCATTGTGGGACAAAAGAGCTCAAGCCGTAATATAAGAAAATTTGAGGCAACTTAAAGCGTCTTGCGAATACTTTTTACGAGGTTACGAGTTTTGTAATGTATTCCTCACCGTGACACTGTATGCATGACCGTGATGGATATGCTAACATAAAACGCCTAGATAATGATGTTCTAAGAACTCTAAAAGTGAGTATAAAGCGACATTTTCAAGTAAGCATTTTTATTGTTTTCGTTTTAAGGCTTGCCTTTCTTTGGAAAGCTGTTAGTTTTATAGAATACAGTGGAGTAGTTTTGTGGCCCGCAAAAAGCTACCAAAGTATTTGACGACTAGGTAAGTTGCATATTAGGTTATTTCAAGTCATATAGCAGTTTTATCATTCTATAAAGTTGTTATAATTATGACGACAAGGGCCAAAAATCGACACCTACATTCGAGTCCTTGGATGCTAACGAGCTATTAAACAAAAGCAAACGAGACGACAGCGTATACAGGCAAAACAAAGAGGTTGACCAAATACAACCATACAGAATGTATGACGTGCTTTGCTGAAAAGAAGTAATAAAAAAACTTGTATAACATGATTATGGGAAATAGTTTATTTTACTTTACGGAATCCTTGGTGGAGTTACAATATTAGGTGAATAACAACTGTCTGCGCTTATTTGTTTGTTTGCCTTTATTTCAAGAGTCTTGACAGGCATCAACAACGTTAACTCTTTTATTAGTATTATCAATGTAATTAGCATAACAGCACATAGTCGTATTGATAAATCGTCATGTGTCTGTATGCAAGCACTGCATTGGTATAATGGTTATGATGAGTATTATTATTGCTCTAGCAGCAACGAGATTACATCATAACATACTTCACAAAAACGATGACAGCAGCGATATTGCGTACCGTTTACTTTTGCTCAGCTGAAAAGATTGGTCGCTACGCCATTTGTCTTAGTCAATGAATAAGTAGTTAGATCTGAGACTGATGGTATGAAGGACCATCCTGATGGTATGTATATTTTTATATCTAATTGACTGATTACACATTTTTGCTTATTGTGTCCACTTATAGTGCAACTGGTGACATTTAGTACACCTTTGTATCGTTGTTAGTTACGTATTAGTGTTATTACCGAAAAAACGTGCTTATACTAAGTATCACATGCTCTTCAAGTCTTCATATTAAGTTTCAGCATCTATCTTTGTAAATAATAATAATAATGGATAGTTAGCCTGCGCACAGCTGCATTTATTGGCGTTTATTACGTCTATTAGTATTTTGCTGCGTCTATTTCTGTGTATGCTTTGAAGCTGTCAATTGCGTCATCTCTTGCGCATGATTGACTTTTGCTCTCTTATGACATGACCCCGTATTAACCTTGATAAAAAAAATTAGAAAAGTCAACTTATTGAGATATTTACTTTGCTATACGACAAATATCTAATTTATTTGTCGGATCAAGTCAGTTTAAATGAGTTTCTAATTGTAAGTCGCATAAAAATGTATTTGGGACCAAACTTCGATTTTCTGGAGGTTAGGGTTTACTCGCTGCTTCGCTCATTCTTCTTTGTCGGTTATCCCTGGTTAATTTACAAAGTTTACTTGCTTGTATGCCAGCAGCGGCAGCACATACCGAGATGTTATACCTTATGACATGTTCTTTAGGTTAGGCTGATCCTATCCTGCAATAGCTTCTGTTATTATCTACATATACTTCAACCACACTTACTCATAATACTTAATGCATACACTTAATGCGCGTTACATTGAGGTACTATGTTTCTAACATTGCAAACGTCAACAAACAACGACTTATTAGAATACAAAAGATTTCAACTCAATTACAATAGCAGTCTTGTATTGAACTTAACTGTATTAAAATCTGTTTGAACGCGCATCATAGCTCATATTGGGATTCTGTTATCACATAACATAAATAAATATTAAAGATGTTCATGCTCATTCTCGAAACAGACAAAATACAGCTGGCGCACGTGATAAATCACATGAGTCTGCTATGTCCAGGTCGTGGGATACTAAGTACTAATCTACAGCTTTATTGTAGCGTTTCTAGCGTTCTTTAATAGTAACGAAAAGCCTAATTGTAATTATTTCATTTCCATTCCACTAACCGGCAAATTTTAATTATCTCTAAACGAACTTTTTCAACTGATAAAGTAAATATCACGTACAGTAGCGATAATAAAATATAAAAAGCAAGGCGCCGCATATTGGCCGTATAGGGAATCATGTATGAAAAAATATCATAACAGCATATAGTTAACATATATAGTTTTCATCCATGTGTTCTTAGTTCTTTAATTACAAAAAAAACCGCGGAAGGTATCATTTGATCATTCAGTTGACATCAGGAGCTTCCTATTGAATTTGATGTTGGGTAAGAGGCAGTGCTTTCTAAAGTCAAATTACTTTCAAGCTGTCCGAATATTTTCTTTCATGTCTTCGCATATTGAGTGTTCCAGTGGATATTGCTATGCTACATTTTCTTACCGGCCTACAAAATATTTAGTTGAACAGGTTTGGACTAGATGAACAGTCAACTGAAAAATCTGAGAATCTCTAACTAAATAGTTAATGGACATTAAAAGATATTAAAGAATACTATTTTTTTTTTTTGATATAATCTGTATTGAATACATATTCAGTTAAATAGATATGACATTTTCCTTTTCCTATCAAACAGATAGATGATCTTTGAACGGCGACTTAGTTGTGCGAGCTTGTGGCTGTATAGTTTTTTTTGAATATTTACATTTAAATATGTTTTCCAACTTACTGTACATAGTTTTACTATTGCTGCATCCTAGCTGAAAGTTTTTAAAACTCGTTGATTTGTTACCTTCTAGTCTAGGCCCATAGCTGGCTAAGTCAGTGTTTCGCTAGTAATAGTCTTGGTAATAATAGTCACAGAAATATTTTTTGAATAATAACCATAATGTTAATAATAATGCAGCTATCAAAACACAAGATACAAGGTAGATAGATCGATCCAGACCTGTGTGTTAATATAACAAGCGGTACCCAAACATTATTGTTGAATCATTTATCCTTTTTAAAGTAGTGTATTGTAAAGTGTTTCAGGTGCAGTTGTTGTAGTCATGTTGGCGTCCGTCATGTTAGCGGCAATATCGGCGACCCTGGCTATCGATTTATTGAGGTAATTAGTCGCAACCGTAGCTCCTATAAACTGAGTTGTAATTCGTGTACCGGTGGACTTTATAAATTCACGTTGCGTTGTTGTTATGACTGCTGATGTCGCTGTTGCCGTCGCTGTTGTAGGGCTACTAGTCGAATTCTGCAATATATTCATCACTGTGGTAGCAATGATCTTCGCTGTAGGGGAATTTACTGCAGAGGGAATTGTTGTCGTGGAGCTGAACTTCGGCAGAAATGTAGGAAAAATATTTGTAGCTACTGGGAGTAATGTCGCAGAAAGGGCGGTTGCCATAGTTGCATGAGTCAACATGGTATGGTTCGCTTTGGTATCATCACATGAACCTCGATAGAAGCCCTGATTCTGTGAGTCAAGCCAGTGCTGGATAAGGTAGGCAATGAGAGAGCCCGTTGTTAGTCCCACACTGTAACTTAGTGTCATCATGTTACCTGTGAAGTTGATACGATCACTGCTTTAAATAGTCAAACGAGAAGAATTTTACTGGATAAGCAGTAATTACCTTTATGAAAGAAGACATTACCACCCATATCTGTTCATTCGAATTGAGAAGATTTTATTATTAGTTTGAGAAACGTATGTATATTACCTGTATATCAATTTTATAAACTCATTCCAGTAAAAAAAATAAACGCATTAGAATGGCGTAATCTCATTCACAGTGATTCTATTAGATTTTTCGAAAGTGTGTTCCGGTAAAAATTGATCACCTAGTACTTCATTTTAAACAGAATTTTTCAAGTTTAAATTGTGGTGCCTTATACCGGTAAGCTCCTTGTGGTGGTGAGGTACTTTGCTTGGTGCAACGATCATCGGCACGCTACCAAGAACCCCGTTGCTTAGTCCCAGTGCCAGCGATAAGAACATCGCCCAGACGTCGTCAAGAGCTGAAGTCCGCGGTCCGGGCAAGGCACATAGAGCTAACAGGGGCACTAGCACGACTCTGGCCAATGAGAGATACACAAGAGCGCTTTTCTCTAGGGAATAGACAAGCGATGCCAACATCTGCATTTTCATTGAGGGCAAAAAACAACATTAGTTCTATTACGAACATTGGTACTGCATAGGAGCGAACTTGATTAGTGAGCATGTAGGACCCAAGCAAAGATCTGTTGCATCTTGTTGCTCCGCCAGGAGTCAATCATTGTGAATGATTCGAAAGACGTAACAAATGACTAGATTATGGTCAGTGTACAGCGATTAAACTGCCGTAATTACCTTTCCAAGAAAGTCTGCGGCGTTAAAGATCTGCATTAGAATCACGGGCATCCATGAATGCAATCGGCAAGAAATTATCTCGCTTATTATACCGGGAAATAAGCAAAGTGTGACGCAATATGCGAGGGAAATGCTCAGCATATAAGGCCAGATCGACTTAGCCACAGCTCTTCGGGCCACTGCGCCTCCTGCAAACATCACGCAGAATAGTGTATATCAGTAGTAGACGCGTATACAATAAATTAATGATAAGAACCATGATGTTGGTGAGAATACCTATAATACATTAAAATGCTGAAGTATTAACACCAGCTGCGCTGTTATGGTCTGACTGGTTAAGCTAGTTCTTTGTACGCCTATTAAATCCGAGGCCTCTAAAATCCTATAAGGCGCGGAAACTACGGATTCTATGGGTCATGGCTTATGTACGGCGAAAGCTGGTGCATGTCAGCTGGAATAGCCTGAGCTTTGCTTTATCCTTTAAAATGCATAAGTCTCAAGAGAATCCATAATGAAATTACGTGAAAGAACTTTTTTTTTTTTTAACAAAACGCGTGTTAGGTAATGTTACTTATGCTGAGATCGATTACATCAAGACATGCGAGGGAAGCTGCCTCTTGTGTAATTCCGTAATCTCGTGAATCAACTTGGTTTTAATCTAGTCAAAATCAAAAATTAAACCCTACAGTTTTTTTTTCAAGGACAATAAGAACAGTAAGCGCATAAGAGGACGTGAAGAGTTGTTCACAATTTAGTTTATCTATCTATCTATTCATTGTTAAATACTGCAATAGAAGGCTATGAGCTTGAGCTTGATATTGTCCATATATGTAACTTACTATGGGGCTTACACCACGCTCTATCACTGTATAACTTACTTTTTATACCCGCCCAATACTGCCGAGGTTTCGTGGACGCCGTTCCTCGAATTTTGACCACGACATCCTGCACCTTTGGAGGACGAAAAATAACGATATTAAATATAAATATAATTAATATAATAAAAAATAGATAAATAAAATTTAAAAAATACCAATATGTAAGTTCCGCTTCAAATAAGCACATATTAGTTCTTAAGAGATAGGTACTAAATATTTCGAAATTCGATACCGCCTAACGATACATACTATTCTAAGCACGCAGTATTAAAATATTTGTTCGATTTCATATGACCTGAATAAATAGCATAAGCTTATACTAAAGATAATATCGTCGTTTGTATCGACAATTCTTGTTGACATAATCAATCTTTTATTTAAATAGCTTGTACCTTAAAACGATGCCTTCCTTCCTCTAGTGAAAGAGCATTGTTAGATAGCCAGCGAATCTGATTCGCCGCTAAACCATAGTTTGCCAACTCCTCTTCGATCTGAAATACGCAGATGGCAATTTTTGCTATATTCATAGTCCTAATACTCATGCTGTACATGTTTACGAGAGGTTAGTTTATTGCCTGCCTCATAGGATATATCTCATTAGGATTAAAGGTCATTACAATAACTGGCATGGCTTCGTATGACGTCCGTGTGCTGGTTCTAGTAATCGATAGCTATTCTGCCTTCGCTGCGCACGTAACACTTGGTGACGGACTGTCTTGAATTTCAGTGAAAATCAAGCAACGATTACAGAATGAATAAACATTAGCAGTGCAAGCTGGTAATCTAAGGAAGTTTTAAGAAGTTTATCTAAGAAAGTTAATTCTGAAAACGGACGTAATCCGTCCGTTGTTAGCATTGTGTCGCATCTGGTTGAATTCGAATTCTATCTGTTGTAAATACTAAGTAATGGAACATTTTTACTACAAAGTAACTTCATACGGCTATCATATCATTCCCTTTTTTTCGACATATGTACATTTGAAGCCAAGACCATGCTTTTATTTTTGTTAGTTCATACCTGTTGTGGATCAGACTGATCTATCAGCGAGTCGGGATATCCGAAACATTGTTGCAATTCAGCGTCGGTACCAGTCATTGTTTCCAAGGCACCAGCTGGCGAAGCCGGCGGGGAACGAAACGACAGGACGCCATGTCCGCCAGCGTTGCCTCCACGGGACGAGCTACCCGCTACTCCGATGACTCCCTCGTCCAGCGTGTCAACCTAAGTAAAGATAGAAGCAATCTTGTTTGATAAAAACAGCGGTAAGTAAAATTGATATGAATAGAATATGAGATTAAGCGGTCAAGGTGTCTAGAATACATAACTATGCTTATAAGTTACTTATATTAAATTTACAACATATAAAAAGTTAATTCTATTCTGCGCTAATTAATTACGATTAGAAGAGTAGACAAATATTGTTCCGTAATTTTTGTTTGTTGCTGTCTGTTAGTAATCTTTGTTCCGGCCAATCTTATACCATAATCCCACAAACATTGTCCTTTAATTGCTGACGTACTAAATAATCAAACCTGATTGAAGTTTGTGATTGCATTTTTCAAATAAGTCGGAGTTCGGATTCTTATCTGACTTATTTTCAGATTCACATGTAATTTGGCTGGTAATAGTTATTTCAGGGTTTACCAGGTTGACATCCTCGGAATCCTGCCTGAGCAGTTCGCTACGAACACTCCCTTGGAGATGGTCACTTTCGGCATCGCTGCCGGAAAAAGCGGATAAACAACCGTGGTTCTGTCCTGTTAAGGAGCCCCGTTCATGCCCATGACGCGAACACTGTTGCAGATAGTACGCAACAAAGGCACAATTCTGCAAACGCGAATAGATGAAGACGCAGGCAAGAACTAGTCCTGTTGAAATGAGAAAGAATAACGCCGTATTGAGGCGTTCGTTCTGAAGGAGAAACTTGGTCAGGATACGATTTCCCGACACTAACAGGCCGGCCGCACCTGGAACCAGCAGCAATAATCACACTGAACAATTTTAGCAATAATAGATAATCAAAAAAAGCTTCTTAGCACAATTTCAGTTTGAGTAATTTTGGCTATGCTGGCAAGAAAAAGTTCCAGTGCACATAATCACCCAACTTCAAGACCGTAAGATCTTCAGAACAAGGTCATATGAAAACGAATCGATTTAAACTGCACTATGAGTTCTTTGCTGTTAGTAATAATCATCTTCGTTGTGCATCGCTACTTAATGATTCAAGTGCGTAGAAGACATCTAGTCTTTTCATCTATAATTTTAAGAAATCGTCAAATTGAAATTATCATCGATAGGCAGCCTAGCGATTAAAATTTTTATGTGTCGATTTGTTTAACGTAGTCAGTGATATAATTCGAGCATAAAAAGGAGATCTGTAACAAAATGCATCTAATCGGCACTCACTTTCGCCTGTCATTACTGCCTGAGTGTATCGAGCTGGCAACATGCTGGTGTAGCCGTAGAAACTCGACTGTTGTACTGAAAGTCGACAAACGCGACAGCAAGTTTACACACCGACCGATTTTTATAAAGGTACCAACGAGGCTTAAGCAATAAGTACGCGGGCACGCGTATGACATATACTTCATTTATTTTCGCTATCGAGGTGCAAAAACAGAATAATCAATATTCACTTCGAAATAACTAAGACGTATAATAATGCTTTGATAATAAAAAGATTTCTTAGATCTAGCAGCTATTAGCTAAGAAAAGATTTTAGGTAGGTACGGCTGTTATCTCCTTACTCTTAATAAGATTCAACAATGAATTAGTATTGCGATTCTGAAAAATACCAAACTAAACAGGTAAATTTAAATTTTTTGTCTAGATTCAAGGTAACATATTTGGTCATTTCAATACACAACCTGTGATTTAGTAGGCAGTACCATGTATTATATGTTATACATAATGTGCTAATTGTCACAATTGACGAATCAGTGCATAATCGAAGACTTCTAGATATAGCAACGTTAGATTTGTTTTTTGTAACTTCGACTACTCAATTCAAGCACTTTTTAATAGTGACAGTGAATGATTAGTAACAAATTGCTGAGAACTTTCTGTCCAAGTACATCGCAAGCTTTTTAGATGTCTGTTCCATGAGCCATTGCGTATGCACATTGATATGCCTTACTTCTGGTTTATTATCTAACTGTTCTTATAGTTCGCACATATGCATGGACGCATTTTCGTATATACATGTATATGTTTGACTGGATGTAATAATAATGATAAAATAGGTTAGTGCTGTTACATTTTCATATAAGTCACGAAAAGCAACAGTAGGACGCCTACAAATACAAACTTACCTGTGCATCCAAAAGCAACGATGGCCACAGCGACAAGATTAACAGTATAGCTTATATCCTTCGAGAAGACGTCCCATATCACTTCGAAAACAAGGACGAAAAATAGTGTCAAAAAGGACACCAGATAGCCGAAGGCGATTCGGCGAGAAAAAGCCAAGGTTTCGACTAAAGCATTATTCACGCACACTGTACCAAATGCTACGAGGATGTAGACGAGAGACATGTCGAAGACGATGTTCGATAAAGGATATTTTGCCTGAATTTAGCCAGAGTACCATAACCGCCGAAACCGTATGTAAAAAAACAAGTAGACGTAATATGTTAATCCTCGTCATAGCATTATTTAGGTAGGCACATACGCTAAAAGGAAACAAAATTGAGGTAAAATGTAGGTGAACACAACTGATAATCATGATACAATCATAGGACGTAAACCACCACCTAAACCCTGCCCGTTCTACTAGAACGCATCTTGAAAGCAAGCAAATGGTACATAAAATATGCATGCATTACTTATATAGGCACATATGTAAGAATTACTTTGTAGCAGTGCAGTAACTATATTCAAATATTATGTAGCATGCTTTGTCTCATAAACAACACTACTATCAACAGTACTACTTTGTTCAAATTGGAAAAAAACTTGGACGGTTTGGCGTAACAAGTATGCCTTTGTGCGCTGCTCCTGGTAGAAGATGAAAGCCAGTCCTTTCTAGAACATAAAAGTAAATTGTATATGCGAAAATCTGTAAATCATTTTCGGAACTTGAGCGAAAATAATCTATTACCTAATCCCTTCGTGCTGGGCAAAACAAAACAAATGCTTTTTTTGGCCCGATATCAGCAGACTACGTTCTTGTAAGTCTTCATTCTATAAAATGTCCGACAAAATCTTCTGGGGTAAACCAGAACATCCTCAATAAGGGCTGAATTTAAACGGCTTCAAAAGGGTTTATTTTTTATTATTTTTAATTTAATTTAATAATGTATCAAAATAATAATTGATTAATAATTTAATTTCATTATTTTATCAAAAGGGCTCGAAAAGCTATTTTTGATGTACCTGGATTTTTTATACAAAAATGAATGGCCGTTTTAAAGAGGAAAAAAGATTGATGACCAGCTGGCTCGTTTGTATAAGCTTCAATGGTTAGTCTGTTTGAGACTCTTTGCATTTATTCGCACTTTTTATAGACTACTTGGTAGTTTTGGCCCCTTGTAGCCCCTTCAAAGTGTCGATTTTACCCCAAAATTTACCCCGCTGGATTTTTTTTAATCTTGTGCATCTAAGCGACATTTCAACGAGTTTACACCTCGAAATATCGTTTGACGCAGGGTTACTATTAAAAAGTTTTCTGTGGATTACATAAGAACTATATATTGAAAATGACTAATGAATGATCCAAGTCTCAAATTAAAGTTGTAATCACCGTGAATGGTGCCTATACTAAACAAACATGACCGATAGGAATGAAACTTTAAGCACATGCAACATTTCGTTTAGCTATCTTTTTTTTCTTTGGATAAAGAAAGTAAGTAAGTTTTAGAAATCGAATCTAAGAATTCTAAATTTAGACACGTCCCCTTAGATATCTAATACAACCTTAAAGTAGTCACACGCAATGATGAACGAGTTGTACGGAAGAAGAAAGCCGATGCCAGCCAGCAGGAGGCCGAGGTAAACGAGCTAGAATATTAGCAAAGAACGCCGACGCAGTAGTAAACCAGGCCAGCACAAAAGGAGGCAGGTTAGACTCCTAAGCCTGCTAACCGGAACTTTCACCGCATTAAGTGTAGCAAAATGAAAAATGCATAATCATATAAATTGCTATTGTTGGTTGCGGTTCCGGATTGATTTGCTTATCTGTTCATATGTTCATGTATTAAACTGTTTCGGTTTGTGTCATGACCAATAGAAAGGGATTAGTATGTGTGATATATATATATCTATGGTTTTTTCAATCTTAACGTACTCCCGTCCGTTAACGTTTACTGTTCCTATTTGGAGCTTATGGCTAAGCTGAAATCGTAAAAACTTGAAAAGAATCTAGCATTCTCTAACCGATCTTAATTTTGATTAATACAAAAAACAATACAACAGTTTTAATAGAATAGCGAATATTCTAGATCCGTTGTAACGCGAGTTCAATCTTTGGAAAATGCTTAACTCTTATTTGTAACCGAAGAAAATCTTACTACAAAATTCATTCAAAAAACGTATTTACAAAAAATATTTTTAACACATTAGCAAATAAAGTAATAATAGTGAATTGAGAGTAATACTAATAGTATTTTACTGAGAGTTTACTCGACGTGCCTAAAAAAATGTAATTAATAAAACTTGCATGGTTTTATAATGTGAGCCGAAATTTTAAATAACCAATCGTAATAACCACTTTGTCTTCGAGGAAGTCGTCAGTAACTGCATTCAATGAGCTTAATTGAAAATATTATAGTATTTTTACCTGGTAACTGTCCCGTGGTGCATCGTGGTCCCGTTCCGAGCTGCTGCGTTGACCACTTTGATTTAGTTGCACATATCTCCGGCTGAGATTTTCGTCCATCTTTATTCTATTTGTCTTGACAGTTGTTCTTTTGATTAATCATATGTACTTGCTACGCAAGGATTTTTTTTCGACATCAGTTACTTGAGAGTGCGTAAAGCATGGGTTTGTTTTGGTTGGGCTTTAGACTCATATGAGATCCAAAACTTTGTCCATTGCTGACCAAGGAATCTTGTTGTCTCGATCTATAATTATATCGTATGTATGAAAAATATCTGATGTCTAATCAAGTCAACCGTTGCCTGACAGAAGAAGGAAATTAGTTCAAGATAATCTGCAAATGGTCGCCGAGTTGACAATCCGTTTTCGGTTAACACCACCGGTATGTTTTCAACTGTTGTGCACATATCCGGGTCACTTTCATTGAATAGTATCCTATGATGATAACCTCTTACCGTCATTGGAAGCTTGTATATCCAATCTGTTTAAAGTTCTCTTTTATTGCGAATAGAATTTCGTTAACCGCGACACGAACCTCTCAAAATGCTGGATGTACAGGTAACCTTGGCAAGGGTTGAGTAGCTTCCAGTTCGTTCCACCGTGGAACCGGCAGTTAGCGAAGCACTGAAAGCTTTCTCGGCGACTAGAAGGCTGAATCTGCTGATTTTTTTTTGCTTATCACAAAGTTGAGCTATACATACAGAAAAAACGGTCTTATTCTCTTTAGCCACTTTCACGTCCATCCTTAAAAAAAAATTGTTTTTATCCAGAGGTTTGAATTCAGCGTAAAAGTGACAATTACGTGGAACTATGAAATTTTACGAAATCCGAAACCTCTATGGTCCTAAAAGAACACGGATCTATCATCATAGCTTTTACTGTGTTACGTTGGTTTGATACAGACTCGCAAAAAACCGATTTTCTGTACTAGCGGTTACAGATGGCCAGTGCTGGACGGCCTGGCATCCTTCTTCTGCGTTCAGGATGATCAACGCAGATCTGTGTCCTGCGGAGGAAACAACCATAACATCTTTTTCGTAGGGGCCACCGCTATGTTCGCTGTAACGGCCCTTTTATTTCATGGGCTTTCTTCTGACTTGCTGGCTGCTGACCGCCGGCTTGCTTTCCTATGGTGTCTCCTTCGTATCGTGCTGCTCTGGCGCTCTGCCTCGAAAGGGGTGCATTGTATAAGGTATTGGCTTCCGCAATGAGCCTCGCTTACGCTTGGCGGCCTAATGGTAATGCAAGCCAAATGAACTCCCCGCGAGGAGAAGGGTAGCCGAGTGCTCTCCTGTGAAGCAGCAATAGTCGACATACGTTCAAGCCTATTCCGCCGTTTAGACACTGGTCAGACATGCACTCACGTAATATTCCTGTGAAAAGGGTCAATGTTAACACAGCATCGTAATATGTGTGAGTACTATATAGTATCATAGGCAGTTAGTTTTACTTTAGTTGAAAGTAACACAAGGTGTCAGCAAAAATTTCAAAAGGTGCCTGTTTGAGGGTTTTCGGCTGATATCTTGGCTCGAACCAAGTAACCTCAAGCAACCAGTGATGTCACCATGTAAAATCTTCATGAATTACACGGACAAAATGGTTTGATTGCTTGATGGAAGTTGGTTACGGTTGAATACAGTAACTGAGGGTACCGTCTTTGATTTTACATTTATTGAGAAACGTGTGCTCTAACTCTATTGAATCTTTTAATGGAAACCTCTGATAACTGTTAGCGGCTGCCTAGATGTACAAAATATTGTTTGCCACGAAAATCGGCAGATGGCAAAGGTACAGCCTAGAAATCGATCAGAGCAGCGACGGAACTAACAGAAATGAGAAAGAATATTTAGCACAAGGAGCGCAGGAAGAGAACAGCACCACGTTGCAGGTGTACTTCATTATACACACAAGGAACAAATCACTGACACAAACTAGAGAAAATTCATATTGAAGGCTTGCCTTCAATATGATTTTCTCTAGTTTTTGCCATTGCTTTGTAATATCTATAAAAGAGCATTTAATAAAACCGAAAAAAAAATTAAGTACGTGCTTACAGTTCATTTTGTCACCCTGGTTCACTTGACTCATAGGCATGGTTAGAAGTGGATTTTAGAGAAAATTCAGAAAAAATAGCAGGACATGCATAATGGCTTGCTTACTCATATACTAGTATTCAGTAAGGGTTTTCGAACGTAGAACTTTCCAGTTGTCACCTTCCAATGCGTTTATACAATTATAAAACGATACCAACTGGTCAAAAACCGGTACCAAAAAGTTAGCGACGATTACATTATACAGGAAAATTTAGGCTAAAAAGGAATATTTTATACCATTTTGAAACGATAAATACCCAACCTTTTTTATAAACAAGAACTAAATCAATCTCATTATTTCTACGTAGCGAATAAACGGATTTCTGCTAATGAAAAACAAAATAATGCAGGAAATTGTGGTCCGGTCGTTTCGGTAGGCATATTTCTGCTTATTTAAGATTTCCTCGCGTTCAATCGAACCGTGAAAAAAGTTCAGCATTACACAGTTGCAGTCTCAGGCAATAGTTCTATAAACAAAGGTGCTTTTCATGCTGAAGCTAGGAGCAATTTCTCATAGCTCATGGGGTTCTTCTGCTATCACTGGAGAATTTTCTCGGTGCAAAACCTGTCTGAGCACTAATCTTATTTAGGGCAAGCCACGCATTTCAAGTTTCAAGAGAAGTTTTCAACACTGGCCACTGATTTGTATAGTAAAAGATAATCTATGTTCTTAATTAACTAACTGACGTCGTGAGATTAAAGCTGGTGGGAGATCTCACTAATCAACCTTGATAATGATGAGCTTTTGCTTCTGAAACTATTCAATATAAAATATAGTTCGCAGTCCGATCTTCAGAATGAATGCGTCGTCATTGAGGTTTTACTTACACTTGAATTTTTGTCAGGCGAAGTAAACAACATAGTGAAGAATCATTAGGCGCAAAATTTTGGTGGATCAGTAGATTGGGTAGAACCCTTTTAGTGATTATCCAAGTGCTACGCAATCTGATAAAATTTTTTTTGACATATCATTTTATGTCTCAGCGAAGAGTTGATCTGCCTGAAAACATTGCATTCACTTACGTGACGTGTTAAACACTTGAAGTATCTGCGGCGAGTTGCCTAACTCTTCTGAACATCATAGTATTAGGCTATTTGCCGAATATTCTCTTATTGTATAGCTACTGTTCAATAAAAAAGGTTTTAATAATTCAAATAGAAAGGTTTTAAACGGGCTAAGTATGCCCGTACGATATGTAGGATCCTACGGTATAAAAAGTTTTTTGACGAGTAGTTATTTTGTCGTTATCGCTGTTCTTTTAAGTTTTTGTACGAAGTTAACACTGATTTTTTTTCTGTTATTGTTTGCTGATTTTTACCTAGTCGTAAAAATATCCCAGACAAACATCGCAATTTGTACTGATTACTTTACAAAGTGTTTCGATCTGACCCGCTAAAGTACTTAACAAATGTTATGATGATGCAAAACATATGTTTAATTCATATTACGCAAGTCAAATCGATGAGCTCATACACTACACTGAGAATTACCAATAGCAAGCCCATATTCTTGCATATACAAAAGCTTTAAACAAATAGAACGTTTTTTCATAGAGGCTTAAAAAAGCAACCTTAGATACATGGCAGAATGTGCAATGATGTACAGTAGACTTTTTTTTTCATAAGCAACATGCACTTGCGGACATTACGGACTACGATAAAATCAAAATGGATCAGCAATATCTTGAAAAAACATTGCTTATTAAATCATTTAGATCTCATAGCGATATTGAAGCTGCAAGATTTTACTTATTGGGGGTATTGGATACGTTACGGAAGTTTATTTGGGCTAGGTAACGTAAGAAAATATTACTTAATTTATTTTGAAGATAAAAATAAAGATGTTCATAAACGAAAAGCGATCTAGATTGTATCCGCAGTATGGGTACAAATTTGTCATGTTTCTATAAACGATTGCACTGTCAACCTTTTGAGCGCTATTCCTCTTGTTGTTTCCTATCTAAAAGTAGTATCGCCTGTTATCCTAATTATTTATCTGTTATTATTATATATATATATATATATATATATATATATATAAGCTTTTTAGTAATCAATTTCAATTGCGGAGTTCATTATCATGCAGTTTGCGATAAAAGCACGCTGCTATAAAAACCTAAAAGATGTAGACTAAGATGAACTTCCCAAGATTAGTTAGTTCGAGTTCATATGCACCCGACTAGTTTGCAGGCCGCAAAGTCGAAGCTAATATGTCGCTGTAGGTGGCAGGTTTTGATGAAACGTGTTCACATTAGAAAAGTTCAAGGCTTTGCTAGAAGTTTCAGATATGCTTTCAGTCAACGTAATGGGTCTGCAGAGGCCATTGTATCATTCATCACGACCGAGCTCGCAGATAAATATATAAAAAGTACCGATTTTTTTTTCATTTTTTCCGGCAAACAAATTCTTCAAATAAAAATGACATAAATAAGGGCCCAATTTTCGTACTGAGGATCTACGGCAACTAGCTTCCTGCTTTTCGCCAAAGCTAGCTTATTACTATTCAGATATAGCATCTTACCGAATGCTAATTAAAGGTTATATTATCTTAGAGTAACAGTTTATCCCTCGTTTTACTTGGCCATAAACAAATTGTAGAAGGTTGACTTATTGGCATCCCACATGCAATCTAATTACAGTAGGCCATAAATATCTAGTAAATAACTGTAAATAATTTTTGAAGCGTAGACCCATAGATAATTCAGCGACTGTCCGACATCATTTTTTGACCATCTGCATGTTTCCTTTCTTGTCTATGAACCAGATAGCTATATGCATCCTAAATATATGAAATATAAATAGCAAATAAACAAATCGAGCTCAAAAAATGCTATTTATGCCTTTTGCCGCCTAACTGCTAGTTGAAATGCGCGGATTCCTCTGCGACACGCGCCATCTGTTTCAGATCGCTACTACGACCATCAGGGAAATACAATCTTCATCATCCCTTCCATTAATGCCGTAACCCTTCCTATTCATCTGCTTTCTATATCCGTTTTTCTAAGCTTCTATCTTTTGCCTCTTGCTACTTTTTCGTTTTGTTCGCAGCGGCGAAGCTTCTATGCAACAATGTATTCTCATCATCCTCACGCTGAACACTGACAGTGATACGTTCCGAGCAGGCTGTCATCCGTGCTTCTGGCTTGCTCCCCTTTGCTGCCTATGGTAATAGCCAGCCATCGTTGGCACTAGCAGCAGCAATTCGTTTTACCACGGCTGCTGCTCGTGCCGTCACCACCGGCGTTCCTGTTCCTGCCGTGCCGACAGGTAAGAACGGATCAGTAGCGGTAGCAGCAGTGCAACTAACCAGAATGACGTTGACGGTTTCTGCTCTTTCCTGCTGCTATTGCTGCTGAGGCGGCTGAGTCACTGTGTCGCTGCTGCTGCTGTTGTTACGACGATAATCGTTGTCGTCTGTGTCAGTGTGCTGCTTGCGGTGGTGGACTGCTGCTGCCGCTATTCGTTACGCATGTTCCGTTCGCTGTCATCGTTTAACTGACTGTGCTTTGTCCGCCCGTTTGCTGGTAGCTGCTGTCTGTACCGGCAGTAGTGGCACTAGAACTGTTATGCCTCCGACTTTTCCCTCATCCACCCATTGGCGCTGTTAGCTGCAAGTGCTGGAGGTCAGTGTTGGTGTTGTTATCGATATGGTGCGTGTGATAAAGATATCAGTTGGTTTGTGGTAGTAGCAGCAGCGGCAGGTCTCGATTGAGGGTGTGTGCGTACGCTCATGTAGAGTTGCCGGACTTGGGTTGTGTCTTTCAGGCCGTCTGCGTATCTGTCCGTCTCTCTTTTTCAGCGGTGCCGTCGATCTCTAGCGGATTTGTTCGTTTTGCTGCTATTCCTCCCCGTTAAAAGTTGTCGTCGTTTTGTGATTCGTCACGTTGCGTTCCATCCCCTCCCCCCTTCGCCCCATCGTGTATGCAGCTTCGATCAGCTTATGGGCGGTGCAACTATTACCACAGTATACAGATAAATAGACACGCGAAGAGTGTGTAAGAAAGCGGGGAGAGCTACTGGTTGTACTAGCAATAGCAACTGGCGTCAACGACTAACTCCAGTATAACAGTACCAAGTAGTTTTTGTGTTACGTCGTTTGCCAGTGTGTGTGCGTGTGTCTGCGTTCACCAATGCCTGTGCGTCTCAGTTCGCGTTGACAGCAATCTAAAATTTCGTCTCGGTGCAAATTCGCCTTCTGTTGCTCTTCTTTTGCAGCCGGATTATTACTAACTGATACGACCACGACAGGTGAGGACAAGGCGAGTCTTCTCCTGCAGTATTGCACTGCTAATGTACGTTTTTTTACGGAACGAATCGTGGCACAACGGCCAGCCATCTTAAGTCTTGTGTCTTGAGACAGTGGACCCAGATACTGGCGCTCTTTCGAGTGAAGTTGATGGTCGTCCCTAAACGACCAGCAAGTTGAGGCTACCTTTCGCAAATATAGAGAAATTACTACATACGATCACCGTTGCGCCGAGGTAGTGGTTGCTGTTTCTATCACATTTTTGATTATAGCAACTTGTGCACTGTACCCTAGTGTGTGTGCGTGAGTGTCTCCTTAATACCAGCTTCTCAACAAGCATTGTAATCAACTAGCCATGTCTTCAGACGCTGCGCCCCCATCGGAGGCGACGAAGCGGCTCGTTTCGAAAAAGCAAACGCTTGACGATGCATATGCGGCCCCAGCCAACTTCCTCGAGATTGACGTCAGCAATCCAATCACGCACGGGGTCGCCCGAAAGCGCTACACCGACTACGAAGTCCGCATGAAGGTTTGTGTACGATGAACTTCGTTGGGGTCTTCTCACTCGATACAACGCACGCGTCTACCAGCTCTAAACAGTTGTGATACAGAAGTTATATACATTATATTTGCAAAAAATTAACAAAAACAACAGATGTACGAACGCCGTAGTTTCTTATGTTTTCCATATACAAAGGGAGATGTATGGGAGATTGCAACATTCACATTTAGCTAACGTAGTTTCACCTTCACTCCTCTTACTTTTGCCTCCTTTTTTCATGTTACTTCACGTTTTCTGTTGTTGATAAGCTCTATGAAAATTAGCAGAAGGCTCAGTAGTTAACGAAGGAACTGGTGGTCGATGTTGATTTAGCCGGTTGATATCTATGGCAGGAGCAGCAGCACGTGCTGAAAACTCGTATTTTCCAATGACTCCCTTAAAACATAAAATTATATACCTAGCTACGTGTTATTAACACATTATATATATGTAAATACATGTACGGATAACCATTTGAGTTCTGAAATTAAAAATGTTTCATGAAATTGTACAACACATTCAAATTTTGCAGTTTTTGTGGTGGCGGTATCTTCAAATTGATTTTCATCGGACTCACTTGCGATGATGCTCCACAACCGGGCTGAAGAGCGACAGGAGTAGGAGTTTTCATAAATCTTTACCTGTTATCTGTAGAATAGGAAACAGAGGATACGCGGGAGAATTTGCTTACGCTGCAGGAAATGGCTGGTCTGCTCAATTTGGCAGATGACTTAAGCTCACTAAGCGACACTCTTGGCAAAGGGAGCAAAAACGATACGCAGTTGTAAGGCGACAAATGAGTATAGTTGTTACTCGGTATTTTTTTCGTAGGAATTAATTTATGTTGTGAACAGTAATAACAGCACGAATATCAATGATAATCAGATAGATATTCCTAAAAGGAAAACTCCTATCCATACCATTATTTGTAGAATACAGACATATAATGTCATTGTCTCAGTATGACATTATGATATCTGTACAATTATAAATAACAATGCTGCACGTTTATTTTCATCCATTGTAATAATAGGCCGTGTTGCTGTTTATGAAGTCGTTTCCCCGACTGCAATGGTTCACCGATGTTCGTTTTTAAACCCGTGAGTCATACACTATTTGTGATATTGTATTGCCGACGGATCTACAAGTGAAAATGTTATAAACGACCTTCAAGGGTTTGGTGTGTTAGACATAAACTACAACGATTTGTAAAAACGATTGATCTCTCTATAGATTCATCTGCTCAGCTAAGAATTACACTAGTAAGCACCATATCACTTTCAGTCAAACAAAAGAAAAGGGTTAACTTAAGGCATTTAAAGTAAAAACGTTACTTAAACTTAACAGTTTCAATACAATCATCTAATTTTCGTTCGCATATGTTACTATCAATTGATTATTCTAATGATAATTAAACAAAAAAACTTTGCTCTATATGCAGCATGTTTGCAAATGTCTCTCCCCAAGGCGACAAAAATTACTGACAAGCGAACAGACGTTCTCGTTACCAAGGTACACAAAAACCGACAAGGTTTCCGTATTGCATTTACTCAACTTACTAATCGATAAAGCGAATTATTGTAACGCCTCTTATTCTCAACAAAATGATACGTACTACCAACACAATTTCCAAATTCAACAGATACTCAGCTAACATGCTCGGAATTTTCATGTCTTACACAACAAACGTTTACTGTGACCCTTTACACTCTGATGACCCATATCGGTCATAAGACCACTAAACCGCAGACCCTTAAGCCCTTCATAGTCGTTTGACATTCCGATTGTTTAAGTTACTGTAGTGGCGGTTAGCATTAACCTGACAGTTGGTGTACAATCAAATGACTCAACCGGTAGTACCCCCGTTACCCCTGTTTGTTCGCCGTCCTTTGAAGCATTGCCTTTTACTGCATGTAATATATATCCGTGATGAATTCCTGCAACTCGACCATTTTTGAGCGTTAAATAAATAAATGATACCGCTGATTTGAAATGAAACTGCAAAGGTAGCTTGACTAGATGCGGTTCGACTGACAACGACCACCAAAGTCAGTGTTTTTCGCGGCCATCCGGTGCGCTCGTTGTCAACAGATTATGTTGACCTTCTTTAGCGTACAGCTATTTCGCTCAAAGCTCAAGAGCAACATAAGAGTGTGTACATTGTAAAGGTGCAGCTCACGAGGAGACGACGCTGATCTGCAGCCTACACGCGTTTGTAAGGCCGACGCCAGAGCGGTTAATTCTTGCGGAGGACGCCCCCCAAACGTAGAAGCTCGCCACTGAGGCTGTTGTTGCCCCTGTTCCCGCTCCGCCCGCCAAGCCAAACATTGTCACAACTAATATAACACTACCGTTGTTGGCTGATACTTGCTTGTGAGTGTATAGAGTGGGTGGGTAATCAATAAGACAATAGCACAACGGGAACAATTTTGCAATGTCAATCGATCAGCCTAGCGGTAGGCTTGTTCTCTGCAATTTTGCCGCCTGTAGAATAGATTCGCGCAGCAACAGGCTTCTCCGTTATAACACCTATCGCTGCTGTTGCCAATGTCTTTTGATGCTGCAAGTAACGCTCTCTTTGCTATTAACATGACCAGCGCTTATGGGAATAACGGCAATAAGAGTTTCCCTTACACTGCTTCTGCCTTTTTACGTCGAACGTAATAGGTGGGAAGTACAGGTTGTTGTTGGAAGCGTTCGGCATGTTTTCTAGGCGAAGAGACCTATAGAAAGGTTTGAATACAAGCACTTGACTTCGCCGTATTCTAGCACTCGAGAATGTGCCAATTGTAATTCTGACTTACATTCTGATCTACTCTGCTATTAGTCCTAAAGCTTCTGAATCTTGTATCACTAATGTCATTGGGCTTTTCAATGAATCGCGGATCTAAGACTAAAGAGTAGACGGAATGACTTAATGTAGGTGACATTTATGACGTGTTTGGTTCGGAACCGCTAAGTTAATCGAAGTTGTTGGCTGTCGGTTAATTCGGTGGCTATTTGAGGAAAAATTTTTGTCAATTCTGGCGTTCCACCTATGACTTACCACCAGAGGTCAGCTAAAGTCGTGGAGAATAAGCTTTTTTTAAATATTGATTTGGGTTTGTGTATGTGCTTTGTCAGAACCGTACTAAATACGAGTAAAGTGGCCTATTGCTTAATCGACGTTAGGATAACTATTTGTCTGAACATTCTTTTTTATTTTCCACAAGGTACGACGGGACATACATTTACCAAATTCATGATTAGAGGTTCTTACTTCAAAAATTATCATTTAGGGTACTTATCACATATTTGTACTCACTTTTTGTAGTTTAGCTAAACATGCAACTAATATTTTACACATGTAAATGATTTAGAATGTAACATGTGAGTGGTTGTTACCGAATGCGTTCGCCAGAAGTTTTTTGTTATTTAGTCCTAGAAATATATAAAAAGCTAGGAAGAAAATATTCCATTGCACAGTGATGTATTGATGGCAAATGACAAGGCTGACCCATTCCCATTGAGACTTGTGTGCATATAGACGGTGATAAAAATTCACACATTGCGAAACGCATTTATTTACCATATCTTATGACAGCACAGATTGATCGCCTCATTAAAGGTGCATTTCTGTAGCGTAAAAAGCATTAGATAAAATTCAAAGCGGTAACTTCTTTCAGCGAATCGCTTGAAAAAAGGTAACAAAGATAATCTTGCATTTTTGTGGTGAACAAATCGCCTACAAAGTAGAGAGCACCTACACACGGACATTTAATGCTGTAGCTTTAATGCTATGTTAAAAGGTACAGGTCAGATTTGTACATTATTGATGAAAATAATCTACAATTAAGATCAACTATCTACATGAATTCTCCATATAAGTTTTAATGTTGTGTACTGTCAATGCATAATATGTTATAATGTAGACATAGCGTAAGCTTGGTTTTTACGGCGGTAAGTCTATACGTTATTATTTACAGCGTTCGATAATAATTTTCCGCATGTTTGTCTATATAGACTGAAGCTACGTGGCCATAAGAATCCTCGAAGCTTGGTACCGTGTATATTTTTCACACCCATGTTTCTTATGTTGGGGACTATTATTAATGGCTATGCCAAATGAATTCCTCATTATCAATATTCATTATCTCATTTAATTGTCTTTGTTAGATACATATAACACTAATGTGTAGCAAGACTACTTAGACAACAAAACAAGCTCGGTTATAAGAATGCTATAGTTTAATTAACAGTATTTTTAGACAGTTAAACTGCTGATTTTATCACCTGTGTTATTTTTGTTTGTACTAATTTCAGACAAACTTGCCAGTATTTAAACTAAAAGAATCTGTCGTTCGTCGCCGATACAGTGATTTCGAATGGCTCAGATCAGAGCTTGAACGGGACAGCAAGGTTTGTATTATTTTACCATTTGTTCGTTTGACCTAAATTTCTTTGCCTTCCGGCGTTTTCATTTAAGTAACATACCTACTGGATACATACAAACCACTGTAGTCATTTGCGTCACCTTGCTATTTTTTTACAATTAACAAATCAATGTTACCCCAATTAAATTCATAGCGATATATAAGACCCTTATGACAAGTATTTTTTTCCAATTATCTATTTTTTTCTCTGGTTACACAATAGGAGACGATGAAAACGATTCAAAATCGGAACGTCGATTTGTATTTTCTCGATATTTGTTCCACTCTGAAGCAATAGGAGCTATTTGTCTAAGACCGCGGTTTTTAAAAACATCTAAGAAATCTGACAAATGTATGTTCGTTTTTGGCGGATGTCATAAACTAGTTACTAATGAGGTGTTTCAAATTCATGCAGATTGTTGTGCCACCACTACCCTCCAAGGCGTGGAAGCGTCAGCTCCCCTTTCGTCAGGATGAAGGCCTCTTTGAGGACGAATTCATTGAAGAGCGGCGGCGGTCCCTTGAAACGTTCATCAATAAGGTCGCTGGTAAGCTGATTTAAAGATAAATGCTAAAAAAACCATGAATGCTCAATCGACAAAAATTGGCCCTTTTTGCGGTTAATCGACGATTTCAATCAAATTTCAAGATATCTGAAGTATCTCTGTTTATTATATATTCTAGCCAAGGAAAAGATCAGGCAGAAATAGAAACAGCATCAGTAGAACAAACTACAAGAAAACATTTTACCTAGGGTATTTAACACCGTCATACCTTCATGTTTATCGTCGCATTGCAGGTCATCCATTGGCGCAGAATGAGCGATGTCTCCATATGTTCTTGCAGGAACCAGTAATCGATAGGAATTACGTCCCGGGAAAGATCCGAAACACATAATTAGGATTTTTTGCACAACCCCGTCGCATAGACACAGTAACTAAAAACGAATTAGTACTAAGTGGGAAAAACAGAATATAACAGAGAAATTCGCAAGAAGTGACTAATACTACGGAATGTACGAAGACAAACGCAAGCCTGGGGTCTATTTTCTATATATATATATATAATGCATGGTATTGTAATGAATTGTTATTCCTATCCGTGCGAATACAGCGTCATTTGCTTAACAAGTGCTGTTTAATTGCAATATCAAACATTTCTCATTTCTTTTAGAGGTTCATCGCTTTGCGACGAAAGAGACCCTCTATGGCACATATCGTCGTTCCTTGATCTATCGTTTATGTCTCGGCAACCACAATTCCGAAATAAACGAGTCACCCATGATAAAAAAGATAAAATAAAAGAACAGCTGTAGCAGGAAAAACTTTACATTCACAATAGCGATATTTTATTCTTCATAGGAAGTTTAATTCATAGCCTTTCAAAAATAGTTATAACTGACACATAAATAAACCTGACGTTAATGAAAGGGGTAAGCTCAACTTCCAGAAAGTGGTATTGTGTCTTATTGTCTTATAGCGTCTTATTTCAGTTTTATTTTGGTAATGATAATTACGATGATGATGGTTATTATTATCAAGATTGTAGTGATGGCAGTTTCATTATGGCACCACTCATAGTCAAGTGAACTAAAAATGTAGACTGTCCAAAGTGAACATGACTGAGATATTGCGACAAGGGCCCGCACGGGCTAAAACAGATACCTTACGGAGTTTGGCAAGCATGAACGAGTTCCACGAAGAAAACCACTTCAAAAACGGTATATGAGGATTATGTCTGAAAAAGCACAATATAAAAGACGAGAGCTCACTGGAAAACGAGTGTTACATCTTCTGGTCGGTCCGTAGCCCAATCACACACAGTTTACGGAACATGGCATAATGATACACAAAAGAGAAAATAATAAAGAAAGATTTTTCTCCTAATCGTGGAGTACCAACGAGCTCCCAGTAGGGATTGCACTTATCGTCAAGCCAAGTGATGTAAGGAGCTTCCGGCGGAATACAACCAGTGGAATACATATAGAACGACTTGTTGTACAACTCATTTTCTAGGGTGGTAAGCACGCTATAAGACAGCTGCTTTAGTATAAGACAATGTCAGGTCCTTTACGAGATGCTGCAGCGATTGACATTTATCTTTTTTCGATCATACATCTATAAACCTCCTCGGTTCACGTCATTACTAATTCCTCTCTCTCTCATATTCTTAGCAGAAAAACGGCAATGCCAAAAAACCATTGGTTTTCTAAACATCAAGTTTTCGTTATGTCTATCCCTATATATACATATATATGCAAATCTTAGAATGAAGAAAAGCAGAGCTTTAATGCAAGTCTGGTGACACACTGCATCACCTGAAGTTTACAACTTAGGTCGCTGAATTCTGTTTGGTACGGACGACAATGGACTGTAAGATTAATACGGGAGGACGGATATTGCTTGCAAACCTTCTTAAGTAGATATCGATATAACCATTTGTGGAAAAATTACCACGAGATGTCGGGCCCGGGTGTTTCCACACCGTAAAAACAAATCACAATGAGATCAAGAGAGAACAGCACGGGCTGCCTTTTCCAATGGCAGGCAAACAACTGCCTTTTGTCAGTAGTGTGTAACGTCTTAGACTGTACAGTTTAAAGCTCTGCGTGAAGTATATTTCTGACTGCAAACTTTTAATTATACGACTTACATTAGTTTACAAAACTGGTGCCATCATGGCTATCATTGCGATATAATTGGACATAAGAAACTGCAACCGCTTGATATCAGTGGATATATATAGTAAATTAATAAAGTGAGACTAATTGAAAAAAGCATAATACACCAAGCTCTTCGTTATCGCTCGATAAGAAACGAAATTGTTCCGATTACAGGTAGACCTTAGAATCGCGATATTTAAGCCTATTTATTGCAGAATCAAAGGTGCTCAGAAAAGCCGCCGATCCACCAGAACCTTACAGATATTATTATTAATACCGAAGATGAGATATATTCCAGTTCTACAGTTATTATCGATATTAAACTGTTTTAAGAAGTGGGCATGTCGTCATGGTCGACCTATATCTACCCTGTTGTCGCCATTTCATTTATATTAGCAAGAACTCTTAAATAAACGAAACCATAATAAGGCATCAAGCAACGAATGTAATATTGCATTAAATATTCACATTTTAAGCGAAAGCTAAATAATAGCTTCGGTGGAGAAGCTAATTCGAGAACAAGGGAAGTTAACAGAGGTTGGATTGCTGTGGACACTTCGATGCCAGATGGCGAGATACTCTCGGTCATTGAACTAATGTCAACTGCCGTAACCACCAGGCAAAAGCCACTCAGCTACTATAAGAGATGATTTACTCAAATCATTATTTCACCATATAGTATCATTATTTTTTTTATTTTATTTTTCTGCCATTATAACGTGATTACATAAACGACCAGTTGCTAACTAAAAATGACAACATCAGTAAACGTCGTCACGGATAGGAAAATGTAACAATGAACACAACACGTTAGTTCAGTGTTTTTTGGGTTAACACGAGGAAGAATAAGTAAGCCGGCCTTGGGAAGACGGCATGGCGTCTTAGAGCCGTAAGAACTATAGATCGATAGAAAATGACAACAGCTACAACCGCGAAACATCAGAATAATAAAAGAATTAAATCTTATGTCCATACTTATGTCCACCTCTGTCCTTTTTGCGCTAGTAGAGGATCGATACGAGTTCGAAACGCAAATATCCGGATTTCTTCATCATAGGTTATTGTGTCGAATATGATCAACGCGGAAAGATTCTATGCGAAAGTGCGTGTCTACTTAGGCGTCTTTGCTGTACTGGTTCGCGTATCTTCTCTTTTTTGTTGTTGTGCAATGTATAACGATTAGAATAGTGAGTCGAAGCTCTTAAAGTATTTCATAGTTAATCTTGTAAAATAACAAATCGAGTCAGTGCCTAACTATCGCTCAAAGATATACTCAGCTGTAATTTCTGAAGGTTTGTTTCATCACCCTAATCTAGAAATGTAAAAGAATGTAACAATACATTAAACACTATCTAGCTATATATTTTTTATTGCCAGTAGAGAAATATACTTAATCGTTCTTGTAACTGTTTCGTCGTTCTCCAATAAAGATTTGTTTGAAATTTAGCTGTTTTGCCACGAAACTAAAAACGCTTATCAACGACATATTTTATATACATTTTAAAATGCTTTTTATTGTTTTAATTATTGCTATAACTATTGAGAGTGCTGTTCATATTTTTGCTCATCATTGCTCTCGAAAATTGCTTTTTTGTGAGCTTTGTAATTTTATTATGTTAAGGGGAAATTGCCATCGTATGGAAGCTTATGCTTGGATAATTCTCTTTAAACTGAATAATGGACTGTATTGCATAATGATTTTGTTTTTACTTGTACCCCACAAAAATTTCCAAATTCCACCGTTTGAGGGTTTCAGCTCCTTGATGAAAAAGGGTAAACCCGAAGGACATAAGTCTATAGACGGCATCCTTGTTGAAGCATTTTAAAAGCGCGTGCATCGCTAGCTGACTTCCTAACAGCTAATTCGTGCTATTAGTATTCATAAAGTTTTATTGATTTCACAGGTGCCAATTCTTGTACGCGCATTTCTTGGAAGCTTTTCATTGCGCATTTTTTTCTGGAAACATGTGCGTATGCTACAACATTTATGTTCTCAAATTTTCCAGAAGGTACTGGGTGTCAGAAGGCGCCATATGATCGAAAAAAAATCAATATTGCGTGCATCACTAGAATTCGGTAGCGTGAAAGCTTTTAGCTTTTATTTCAATTCTAACATATAGTAACGCGATTCGGGCTCAGATTTAATTACCTGGCGCTGCGTAATGCAACAGTATTGTCCTTGAAATAGAGTAAACTCGCAAAAATGGGTGGATTAATAAAAAAGACCTGTTTACATTAAATTAAATCTTTATGTTGGCTTTTTTTTTACTTAGTTATTTGCAGATTTATAAGAGTGGGTTGCATCGACGATCATTATTCTGCCTATTTTTTCGATATTTCCGGTCGCACGCCACGTCAATCTATACGACCGCAATATCTTCCGTTTGCGCTATCTGTTGCGTTAAACGTTTGATATTCGATTTCTCCTATTTATGCACGTTTTCCGCTGTTCACCCTATGTCATCCCTGATTGCCCAGTAGATGCGGGCAGCGCAGCCCGTCATCGTTTGCCGCAAAGCGCCAGCTATTCTGGATGTACCTACTCATACGTCGCATAGCTTCATTGATATATCTAATAGTAATAATAATTGTTATTATCTTTATAGTATCAAATTTACGTTAAGTTTTGACCTCGTTAAACTTCCAAATGACATCCTCCACTCTCTTTTGCGACATTGTCCATGGATATCTACTATTTCCGTATTGATGTTTACCCATACAAACCTACAAATCAATTTTCTTTCGGGTAGCTTCGAGAAACTTTTAAAATTTTAGCGCCGCCCGCCGTCCTTATGTGTCGTCTGCTTCAAAGCGTCTGCTTCCTTTGTCCTAGTATTCTGTTCGACTTTTTCTGCACACGCACACGATGTATCCTATTTAGTCCCTGGCGGATTCATACCATTGGCGTTTGTTAGCTTAGCTCATTTGCGCATTCCTGTGCTGCGGCTCGTTGCATTGTCGCTTGTCTGCCTCGTTCCTTCCCTGCTTACTGTTGCTGCTTTGTGCGTTTCAGAGGACTCTGTCGAGTTTTACGGCCGTTTGTCGAGAGCATCTTATGCTGCAGGCCTGTGATCGCTCGCAGCCCGTGTGTCGTCGTCAGATAGAATCGACGGTAAGCGTGACTGTGTGCATATTTCGTATCTGCGAGCGGATGATCCTTGCTGTGTTAAATGCTGCCGTGTGCTGTGCCATTCGTTTGGTTAGCTAGCAGCGGTGCACAGGGTAGACGAGCTCTGCCTGGCTGGTAACAACAACGCTAGGTTCGTTCGCTCGGTGTTTGTCTGTGCGTGTGTCGATTGAAAGGTTCGTCAGTGTGTACGAGTCTGTTGTAACTGCCGCAGTGGCCCCGCCGGTTGTCGCCAGTTTGGCCTCCAAAAAGGGTTCGCATTTCGATTTTTTTTCCAGAAAAACTACTTAAGACAACAGCATCTATTCGTCCCGCTTCGTGTCAGCCATTACAGGTGTCTTGTCTGGGTGACTTTTGAGTGCGGTGGGCAACAAGAGCAACTGCTACTTCTGGTAGAAGTGTTGCTGATCGACGAATTGGGCGAGGCACAATTCGCTGACATTGCTTCCAATGAGTCCTGGTGCTGGCCGCAGTTGGGAACGCAGAATTGAGTCACAGAGTGTGTGCACTTAGTGAATGATTCACTGAAATCATCAGCCGTGTAACTCGTGGTGGTGAAAGCGTGGTCCTCGCTGTAACCGTTGCAGTCGGTTCCATTCCAAGAGACAATCGTACCCGAGCAGGCCGGCGAGTGATCTAGCGAGCCCGAGCGACGTGTCAGCCGTAGCCGTAATTCAAATTAAAGATCACAAGACAGCGTCGACGACGAGAGAAAGACGTTTACCCGTACAGTGGCTGTTACGCGGAGCAAGCAAAGGAGTGTTTAGCGCCATCAGTAGTGACCAAAAAGCGAAAGGAAAACATCATAAGTGGTGTATTTTCTTATCATATCATCGGACGCTGCGTATGCCGAATAGTGAATTCAAGACGAATATAGTTTCTGCTGTTTATTGGCTGTTTTGACGACCCTATCTGTTACGGTAGGATTTCTTGCCTGTAGTCCTCCGGCTAATGAGTAACTCTCGATTTCAACCAGCTCGCCGCATCCTTAGCGTGATACCGTAACTGAATAGCCTATTACTGGCCCATTGTGGTCCCGCTCGAGTTGTTCTGGATGCCGCCTTTTGGCTGCGACGTAGGAGCTGACTAATGTCTTGCATCACTGGGCAACCCGCCACAGAAGAGTGTCCGACGACCCCAGAGAGTACCCTCGAAGGTTCTGCCGCCGCCGTCAACGCCCCGAACGCAAACACTACTCTCGTGAGCGACACCGCCACGACTGCAAATACCACTAGTGGAGAAACATCGCCGCTCTCGAAGAGGCGAAAGCTCGAAGACTCAACGACCAACGGTACGGGAAGCGGCACAAGCAGCGGCGGCGCTACCGAAACTGCCAGCGGAACCGCTGCTGTCGCAGCCCGTGGCGACGGTTCCACCACTGCAGCAGCAGCGGTGGCCAGCCAAGCATCGAACGGGAATACACAAGTATCTCAAACAACGGCTCCTATATCCACGGATTCGTCGACGTCAGTCGGCATGATCAAGAACGTAAGTATCAGAAACGTTTTATTTTGCAGCTATAGCATTAGTAAATCCGTAATAAAGAGACCTATTAGTGGTAGGTGTTGACTGTTTGTGTTCATCAGATTGTTTTCGTCGCTTCGGTGCTGGACAGTGATCGAGTGTTCAATCATCGTAAGTCATTTTCATATTCATTAGGTAGTTATTACAAAGCCTGGACTGGGTAGAGTGGCGTGTGATGTATCAGGGAATAAATATATGTGATATATACCGCACACACTAGGAACATGAGAAAGTGTTGGACAACACATTCTAACACAGTCGAATAAGTGGCGTGTTTTTAGTCCGATCGACAGCTAGGATACCTGGTAACTTAATGTGAGGTATGTGGTTTTCTGTAAGCGTCATGTAATTGTTACGACACTGTCGCTGCATATTCCATGGAAATCCTGTGCACGGAGCTGTTATGTCTAGACAGCTTGTACAGAGCCACGAGAAATGCAACGTGCCAATTAACTGACTGGTAGCGTGTCATCTACACGCGTCATATATTCGCTGCGTAGAATTGTAGAAGTTTTATTGTGTACCTCAACCAGTGAATAAAATAATGGTATCTCTGGAGGGTATCTCTGACACATGATAGTTAGCATGTCTATATATTCTAGGAATGGCGGCAAATCTCCCGCATTAAATTCTTAATGTTTATGGCCATTCATGATTAGAATTATTCGCTCACAGAACTGTTTATCCGAGTATCTTATGAACTTCACAATGCATACGTAATTCTGGCGATGAAAAAATATAAGTGACAAAAGATACGTTAGAACCAGCTTGGCCTGCTGCTAGGAAGTTCTTTCACTTCATTCCCTTCACTTACTGAAAATGCGGGTGGAAACATTTTTTCGTTTTGCATTGCTTCTCCACAATGATATTTTGTTTGAGATAGCATCGCCTCTATGATGTAGATTTAGCATAAAACATTGTGGATAATTGTCCTTTAAGAAGAGGCAGAGCTCTCATTATTATCATTGCGGCATCAGTTGTTCGTGGTCACGTACTTGGCAACTCTGACGAACATATCCTTAGAGAGATATGCAAATCTCTATGACAGAATTGCATTGAATCTACGATGTCCGAAATCTATACATAATGTATTTGGTTTAGGCTGAAACCTTTCGCTTAGGCAGCTGCGTTTTAAGATGCAAGCTTGCATGCTAAAGCGATATCAATTGAACACGAAGAGAAAAATGACAAGCTACATTTCTTAGGTGCCAAGAAACTCTTTTGTGGAGCTGTTATGCAGAACTACAAATTAGGAAAACAGTTAGCTACAATTACTAACAAATGCGTACAATGAGCAGAGTAGAAACGCCGACAGAATTGTCGACGCGCAGTAACTGTGGAAGTTTATCTTTCAGAACTAATGACTTAAAACACGTAACCCCCCTAGGCACTGATTTGGAAAATGGTGGAGTAGCTTTTTCAAGCAGTACGCGGTCCCCCTTAACCCGTTCCGTAAAACGCAGTGTTATAAAGTGTCCCACGTGATATCATATACAGATAACTCTCATGTTTTGAATTCTAGACAAGATCTGCGTTTTAACTGACTGTACTAGGAAAACTTCACTGCTCGGCTCTCATGCTACATTGATTTATATAGGTGTAGTATGTTAGAACACTGTGAAGCATTGCATATTTGCTGGGCTCGTGCGCTATTTAGTGAACTAAATGACTAAAACTATTTTTTTAGTATAATTTGTTCTGTACCTAAAGCCACGTCGTGGTTTGAACAGTTTTCGGGTGCCATTTATATTCCGTCTAGGTTCCATAAACATTAACTAGCAAGATGTGTAGAATGTAATGATAATAGTAGTTTATCTGTCCACTTAATTGGCCAAATTGGAGTCGACACAACACAGGCATCATTGTGTTGACTTAATTTATCGAGAAATGAATCTTATCGATTTCCGTAACGCGTAGCGTCTAAATCCTTGATCCGTCGAGAAACAGACGAGTCGTGACTTTTCTCGATAGCCATTTATAGAGACAGGCTTTTGTATTACACTTGTCCAGTAAGAACTCTCATAAAAATTATTGACTAATCTATTTTTGACAATTTTTTTTCACATATTTCCACATATAAAAAGACAACTTCTTTTTTTTTCAAAAACTTAGTTTTAGCCCGTTACGCCAAATCAGTGTCCTCACATCGATCTACTAGCTGGTTTTAACGTCAGATAATTTGTATAGGACTACAAGTACATGATGTACTTATGTATTATACCCTTCTTTGAAAAGAAATACCTGGTCTTTTACATCCTAAGAAAATCGGCAGAAATAAGTAATTTCTAGGCATTTGACGAGTTTTTTTTCGTGTGACGATCTTTGTTTGTGGCTTCCTAGTGTAGGCCGTGACCTAAAGATACTAAAACCGTGAATGTGACCGACTTCTGATAATGAGTTTCGTGCTGAATAAAGCAAGATAAGAGATAAATGCGTTAAAGGAGAAAGCATCTAGCTTGAGTTTCCCTCAACTATCGATTCTTTATTTGTACATTTGGGAAGCATGGAGACCTTAGTGGCAACGTGAGTTTATTTATTAAGACTATTTATTATTTTATTCACGAAGTATTTACCAAGATGTGCAATTACAATGGGTCCAAAAAAATGCATCTTGGTGGCCAAAATATCTCATATAAGCGTAGGTTTTATAATAAATGACATCATGTCCCTAATTGTCAATTAGCAGGTGATATATATTACAGAAACGACTCTGAGCGGTGAGGTTTAGGAAGAAGGTTGGAGAACATGAACTGTGACAAAATTTGTACTTCGTTATCGTGTTCAATCTCGGCGTCAATGTAGGTTTTTTCCGCGTAAATAGAACTTGAAACCCATCTCGTATAAAAGATTCCTTCAAACTCGGAAAACGTTTTATGCACATTTCTCCACCACTAGTTACCAGGTTTTTCCTTTTGTTCGATTATTACCGCCGTATTTACCGTTGAATTTGACTAGGGTTACAGTAGTTAGGCTCTTCCTCCACACAGCCGAAATGCTTCATATTTTTAGTCATTAAGTTTCTCTTAATAAAAATTCTTCATACTTTTTGTCCATGATTCGCGGGCCTTAAGGCCTAGAGAAAGCTCTTTGTCTACTAACTAAACGCGTCAACGCCTCTAATAACTGTCTGAAACATAAGAAATGGTCAAAAATTGTACAAACCAGTTTTACTGTTACAGAAAACATTTCAAATATTACAAGCCTTAGATACAAACTTCGTCGATTCAAATTGGTTTTAGTTCTTTTCGTAAAGGAAATTGAAATTAATAAAGATTTCATTAGCGGTTACGGGCAAACCGAGTACAGAACCACCAGCAAATGCATCACAAGGCTACCTCAAATTTAAAAAACTAATGAAGGAAAATATGGATTCTGTATTCACCTTGTATATACGTCATTATATCAATACTGAATCATGGAGGAGACCAACGTTTTGTAAGCTTTTTTTTTTCTAGGATTGAAAAAGCGTAATGTCGGTGCAAGAGGGATCACGCGGATCCAGTCAACAAGTGGGTTTAATGCACCTCTTTGCTGCTCTGGCATTTATTCTTTAATTAACAACCGAACTCCGAAGCTCCGTTATGTAAAATGACATGACTAGAAAGATTTGTACTATATTTTTTAAACAGTAGTACTATATTTTTGTAACAGGGACCTGTCGCTAGCTTTATTTCGTTCCCATCGCTTGGCTACTACTGCCCCTAACTATACTGATGCTTTCCGATATGTCCTCCCTTCCGTTCCTTTGGTAGATACTTTCGCTCAATGGATTACTGAATCCCTTTCCCGCCACTTTATTTAGCCCGCGCTCGCGCTTCATCTGTGCCACACAGCGTCTGCTATTTTTGCTGTATCGTCTATGTAAGCCTTACTCTACGTCTAGCGGCAGCGCAGAAGGTAAACATCGCTCCTATAAGCTAGCGGATACGAAATTTCTCTGGCGTCGCAGCTAAAGAGCCTTGTACATTGACTAAATTCCGATAAGCGCCACTGCTCAGTCGCTAATTCTGCTCTGACGTTATGTGGGAGACCACAGCGGGTTCTGACTTGCCGATCAAGCCCACTACTATGCCAATAGCCTTCCATTTTCTAGCAGACAACGAATATTGCATGCGTTTTCCTTTTTTATCGGGAAGGCCGCCAGCGTACAGTGGCTGAATGTTGTTTTTTGGCTTTTCGGCGATTGCTACTGTGTGATGGAAGGAGATTGTTTCGTCTGCTTAGGTCGATCTGCTTCTCTTTCTCTCCTCCTCTCTATCTCGCGCATGTTACCAGTGTCGCCGACAGGCGCTATCATATGTGTTTCGTCGTTTCTTTGTCATCATCACGCACAACAATTTGTTGCCTCTCGTTTCTTCAGTTGTTCGGTCCTCTCGCCCCCTACTGTCGACTCACTCCGAACGGCGACTGGCCAGGTCGTCACTCGCGGTAGCCGCATCATTAATGTTCATGACCGTCACGAAGCATAGCCATTGTCCGCCGCTGCCCTAACAGCCAGCTATTATAGCTGCCCCTTTCCCAGCGACCGCCTATTTTTTACCGAGTGGCCGTCGCGTAGATTTTGATGTGTTTCTTATATTTTCTTAAAAACCACCCAAGCAGGCAAACACAGGAACAGCGAGAGGGCATAAGCGAGTTTTTTCTGTTATGAGTTGTTCATTGTTCCATCTCTTTTCTTCAAAACAAAAAACGTAAACGATTAAAAATCTCTTGCTCACAGAATTTTCAGTTGGATGACTGGTTTTACAAATACTAATAATGATAATACACAGCGGTAACTCGCTTTCTCCTAGTTTCTTTGCACTGTATGTAAAGAAGGCAGCCGAAGTTTTCTGCGCGGGCGGAGTACTCACTTCTATCAGTCGGATGCTTGCCATTTTTTGAGGGGTGAATAAGAGCGCCTGCTCCGTGAATTAGTCTACTATTGTTTCGGAGGTTACCAGTAGGCGGACTTAACTAGCCTG